GTTCAGGAGTTGCTGGGTTGGACATAATTTCTGTTACAGAGATGTATGGTTACTTTCTGTCACAAATGTTGCTTGGCTAAGTCTCTGAGGATGTTCTCCTAGGAACTGTCCTTTCAGAAGCATCTAGTACAGCCTTTGAGCTTGTAGCTTGACTTTCCTCACCTGCCGTACTGTTGATCCCTCAATACCCGCCCTTTCCCAGCTAGGTCCTGTGCTTCACTGCCTTCCACAGCAGAACTGTGACTACTGGGAAGAAGAGGATAAGTGTGCCCTGTAAGAACATTACCAGAGCTAGGTTTATTGATGGCTAAGGTTAGCCTTGAGTTCGCATAGAAAGTAGCAGAGCTATCTGAAGCATCTACTGACACTTCACGTGTTTTTATGATCATGACTGACTGAGTGGCACAATTTAGATGTGCAATTACCTTAATATCTTAATAAGAGAACTATTCTAAGGATTAAAGGTACCCTCTCTGGCTAAAACATTAACTGATAGATAAAAACGGACTGAACTTTTCCTAGCACACAGAGAGAGGGAAAAAAATTGCTTGGATCTGAATCTACAGCCAATGCAACTCCACTGGTGTCTCTGCAGACACTCCAGATTTCCGTAAGCATAAGACTGGCCAGATGTCTAAGTCAGTCCAGCTTCCTCTTCTTGTTTGTTTTATTTAATTTTGTTAAACGTTTTTCTTCTGCTTGTTATGAACTATTTCTGAGCTTACAGGACATGAAAACAGAAAGAAAAAAGCTGTGTTACAAGTTGTTTTCATTAATAGCGTCTCTCATCAATAGATACCCAACACCTTACAAAAGACATCAGCTTCACAATCTCTATAATGAGAAGACTGGAGGTCCAGCAGTCTCTCCGTTCAGGAACACTGCTTTTGTGTTAAGCACTTTACACTCAGATGCCACCTGACTAAAATCAGAAAACAGTTCTTTTTAGTTTTTCTTTTATGTTCTCCCAGAGATGTACAGTAGGCTAAAAGGAAGGATAATGTGTAGCAGCATTAACTTCTGTCGCTGTGAATGTCTGTAACACCATTTCCACACCTTCGGTCACGGAAGCGAACGCCAACCTTCATGTTGTCATTCTGCCCACTTGAAAACACATTAACAGACTGTATAACATATTAAATATTAAAACATGCAAATAGTCTTGGGATGTTGAAAGGTGCAGATAAGATTATAAAAGTCTTACGGTGAGGAAGTTTATGTGAGTACTGTGGCTGTTTACTCATTTGAATGTCTAGTGTTTAAATCTTTGGGCATTTAAATGCTTGGGCATTATGATGAGTGGGTGAGCTAAGTCTGGTTGGATGCCAGTATGCATGGGCCAGCAGTTCTGTGCCCCAGCACTTGAAGAGTTTTAATACGAAGTTATATGATATTTTTATTTAAATGAACAAATCAGTATTTCTGATGGTATTTATTAAAAATATGACTGTGGCAGAAGAAAAAAGTATTTTTATTTATCACCAAAAAATCAAAATCTCACAAAAGTAATTCTTTTGATCCAAACAATACTGATCAAAACAGTATTTGACCAAAACAGTTTTGATCCAAACAAAATCTGGTCAGAATGATGTATGGGAACTATTGTTATTTAACTTGGAACAAACTACATTGGTAGCTTGTGTTTGAAATTATACTTGAACAGTGCAAGAGAAGTTTTCCAAGATAGTGCTGTCTTTATTTCTTTTGAAATGAGATCATGTCATTAAGACATTATTTAACGAAGACTAGAGCTTGCATCTCCTGGCACACAGATAGAGCAATGTGTGATTTCAGCAAGAACGACACTTCAGTTCATATCAGGTTTGCTATTGGAGTCTTTATTTGGTAATCATAGATAACAGTCGATAGCTGAAAGTTCCTAGCAAAGCTTAAAGTTATATTCAGGTAATTTGACCTTTGTTAATGGGCTTTAATTAAAACTCAAATTTTATAAGAGAAAGGTTGAGATTACAGTAATTTAATTAAGTACAATACAGAGATAAGGAGTAATACTGGTCTGTCTCTGGTTTATAAGGCAATAATCTGCTTCTTGTGTAAATAAACCAAAAGTACAAAGGTAAACACAGGGCAAGGACATTACTGTTATACTAGAAACTTAGTTAACCAGCTCCTCAGCCTTGGGAAATTTTGTTTCCATTGACTAGAGAGATCACACCCTAAATGTCATCCCCAGCCTTGCACGGCCACAGGGTACAAGCAGACCAATGCTGGGCAAGGTAATGCTTTGCTCCAAAGCTCTCTTCATGGTCCTTTCTAAATTTGGGACAGAAGCTCAGGGCACTCAGAGACTGGAGGGGAGTGAAAGCTAGAAAGAACCCAAGAGGAAACAGCTTGTAGCCTCCAGCACAATTGTTTAAAGCAGAAAAAAATACAGTGAAGAAAACCTGCCTGAGGTGGGGAGCTGGTAACTTCAAAAAAGTTGTCACGAGGGTGAACAGAGAGAGGAAACTGCAGGGAGAAAGGCTGGATTTGGTTGGGGGGAGGTTTGTATTTGAAGGATTCTGCAGCTGGCCAGTGTTGGTAAATATGGTGAAGCATCGGGAGAGGCTATTCAAACCATGGGATTGGGTCATTTGCATTAATGCTTAGATTTTCAGTGTTCCTTACTGGGGAGAGTAAGACAGCACAGCTTCCCTGAGTTTATAACGTCTTGGTAAACATATATAGGAGTTACAATGTGTCTGGTAAACCCAAGATCAAACCGCCACTGGTGATCTTTCCAGAGGCGGTTTTATTTCCTCTATGTTCTCTAGAACATGGAGTTCTAAGAACCGTCTCCATTCTCTCCCATGAAACATGTGTTTCTGCAAAGAGAGAAGAAACATTGTGAAAAATTAGAAAAGTCACCTAATCCACCTCAATGTCCTCTGATAATTACACATTATAATTGTAAATCAATAATTTGATATTTCTCCATTTCAATGTGAAAAGTGGGAAATGACACAGTTAGCAAGAAAATTAATCTCTCCATACCTTACTAAACTGCTTATCTGTCATTAGCGTGATGAAAACAGCAACAACAAAAGTGTTTTACTGGTAAATGAAGTATTTTTCACTGACAAGAAGAAAAAGTAAAATTTGCAAGGCCTCCTTGCTTAAGTTGTTCAAAATATGTGACAAAACCATCAGGTACAGACACCTGAAATTAGCTACCAAAACACATTTGGGATGATTTCAAAAAGTTGCTGGTTGTCTGCAGCTCCTTGTTCTTCTTAAGAAGCTTTCCAGTTATCTTGTCTTGGCTGAATCTTAAACTAGGTGAACAGTCATGGTGAACAGTCATGGTGAAGAAGGGCAAAAGTGGTTTGAATTAGTGTTTTTTATTGCTTGCTTGCTCTATGAAAATCCGCTTAGCATTGCTACAGATCAGACCACTCACAGGCCACATAATTAAAACTGCAGCATGCCGGGCCCTGGCCACGTCAATGGATGTGGATATGCTGAAGAGAACATATTAAAGCAATGCAGAACATCATTTACAGAGAAAATGTTCCCATGGTTAGTGGAAATAGAGTTAGACAGCTTTACTTTTTTGCCAGATCCTTTTCAGTCTCCAACATTGCTGAAAAATCCCTTCCTTGGCTTTGTGCATACAAGTAAGTCTACATCTCAATGCATACACATCACATACATGTGTACATACATATGCACGCATGTCGTGTGCGTGTATGTTGATGTATATAAATTTGCATATGTGTGTGTATGTGGACTTAGATACCCTACAGCCTTCCAGTTCAATCCTGCTGTTTCTCTGTTAATACTACTGACTCCAACAAAGCCCACAGATTTTCGTTTTTAATCTGGGTTTTTGTTTTGTTGTCACCTGTTTCTGCCAGTGCTTTCCAAACAGACACAAGGGCACACTGTCTTGTTGAACTTCCCAAGCGAAGCTAGGCCGTCAAACAGACAACAGGTTAGGAAGAGAGGCACAATGTATAACAAGTGTGTCAGAGCAGCCAAGTGCAGCACAAATTCTGTTTTAAATAAACCAAATATGTATATTTATAAAAGATCAGTCAGGCTTAAGAAAAGATGTTAAAGCATTTTGGGAACAATGGTAATTTAGCTGAAAAAAATCGGATTTTAGGGTAACCTCATATGAAATTGCATAATATATAATTGTGCAAAGAGTCTTTTTATCCTTCATGTTCAATGGAGCCTATGATTTGCTCTGCAATCACATGCTTTATATTGAAATAATTCTTTTCTCAGAGGATTTTAAAATTAACAACATTGAACTCAGTTAAGTACCTTATCTAGAAACAAAAGTGGGAAGTTAAAAATCCCTCTTATTTTTAATGATTCTTGCCATACCTTTGCAGAGTGGATTCAGTTCACATATGGAAGAATATGTTATAGTGATTATTCATGAAAAGTTGTCTAATTCAAAGATTGACTCTGACACAGCCTGTATATAAAGAAATACAGCACATGACTGTTCAGTGATGGTATTTTTTAAATTAATAGAATAGCCCAGTTTAAATTTCACAGAATGGAAAGAAAAGGATGACACCCTGCTCTGAAGTGTTTGCCACTCCCAAAGAGCCAAATTCAGAACAGTGAGTAGAGATTTCTTTTCTTTTTCTCTCCCTTCCTGCCAAATGGGGCAAGCACCCCTATGCAGCGTCTAAAAATGACACTGATGTTTCAGTTTCATTCCACTTGGCTCCTGGGTGTGCGTGGCTGGTAGGTTCAGGTAGGTTCATAAAGGAGCAAAAAGGTGAGTTACGTTTTTCTTACTTCTCCTTTGAATCAGTGAAAGAGTTAATTGTAATGAGAATGTGCAAGTAGTGTAGTGTATGTGCTGGGGATTAAAGATCAGCTATTATAAAGTGCCAATCTATGAGCCTCCCGCCACCCGCTCGCGTTGCACTTTGACCTTCTCTTTATACATAAGAGGAAGGAGCTGTTCGTAGCCCCGACAGCAGGAGACCACTGCAGCTGCAGGAGCCGCTGGATAGAGGACACAGAAACTGTTTATTCCATGAGACATGGATGCGATATTTGGTAGAAATAGAGAAGAACATCCAGAGCCGATAAAAGCTCAGGTGCAAGGTAAGTGAAAGAAAATCTGTTCTCATACGTGCGTTTGCTTCGGTGTTTTGAAACGTGTAAACACTGAAACACTAGTTCGCTCACGACACCACCGAAAGGGGAAGCTGAGAAAGAGAGAAACGTCAGTGAGTTTTGTTTAAAAGACTGATCAGTGAGTTTTGTTTAAAAGACTGATCTCAGATAATATTTGTGCCCCGGTGTGGGATTTTTCTCACTTTATGGGCATTTCTGTGTACTTTTCCTACAAGTCTGTTTGAACAGGATTCACTGAACTCTCAGGATTTAATCTCGTGACACCGCCTCCCCCATGGCGCGGCTCAGGCTTTCGGTTTCTCCTCTTGGTAACCCTTCCCTACCCTCCATCTGCTCACACTATTCCTTGCCTCCTGGAGAGGGTCACTGAAATCAGGACTTTTCAACAATAGGACTTCCAAATAAAAAAGCAGCAGTAATGGATGCCAGTGTGTACCACTAACAGGGAGGAGTTAATACAGGAGTTCAGGAGTTAATACAGTAAAAACTGCGGAGTATCCTTCAGAGAGATAGTTTAAAGTGGCTCTCTAGGGATGAATGCTTGATCAATCTATTAATCTTACTGCTTTTTCTACTTTACAGAAGAATTTTTTGCTACAGCTATGTGAGAGGCTTGTTGCTGAGAACCCATGTTTAGTAAATATGTGCTGCATTTTTTGTAGTATGTAGTCGAAGAAATGGCAGGCAATTTTAAAGTCACTTCCCAAGTACAACATTTAAAAAGACAACAATTAAAACTTGCATGATTACGTTGTTGTTGTTCAGTTTGGTGGCTGAATTGGAAAAGATTTTGTTTCAAGTCAGACAAAGTGCTTTGTTATAATTTGTGGTACTTTTATGCCTTTCAATTTTTTTCTCAAGAAAAAACTCACTATTGAAATATTTGAAGTTGTTTGCAAACAAACCATTTATCAGACCTGATCTGAATTATGGAAGGGTTTATTTGAACAAAGACTGCATGTTTCAGTAACTAAAATATTCCTTTATTGGTAATGATGATTCAGTATTTACCAATTATGAAAACTAAGGAGAACTATGACCTCTTTAAATATTTTGCTCACCCTGAGATCTGTCAGTATTTTGGTTCCTTTTTACTCAGTATGTACACTGTGAATGTGACCCCATACTTCTATTGTCATAATTTAACCCGTGCCCTCCTAAACACTGTACAGTAATGTGATTACTGTGCAGATAACTACAGACTCTATTGCTATGATGATTCATAAACTTCCAAATATTTGGAGATTTTACTGTGTCACTTTTGTGTCCTCACATGGTACAGAAAAGTATCATTATTTCCACTTTAGATAAAAGTCCGAAGCAAAAAAGATACAAGGTCCGGGTTTTTAAAGCAATTTAAGCACTTTAGGATGCTTATTGGTACCCAATGTGCTTTACAGAAACTCTTAATTCCCACAAAGGTGAATTTTCCTCTGAAAACCTCACTAGAGGACACTTTGCTCCATGCTTTTTATATTTGAATTATGCCAAAAATTACACTGAATTACACCAGAAGTTTCAGAAGCTGCATGAAGTCTAATAGTGCCTTAAACAGAAGATCATCTTTTTTCCCTGTTTATCTCTTCCAGCTAAAATATTTTATTGGCCTGTCCTGGAACTTTTTGAGCATCATAATTCTGATATAGAAGAATAATCTCTGAACAAAATTTTTAGGCTTATCAGCTGCAAGGTGTTCATTAAATTGCAGAAATATCTGCTTTTCTTGAATAACGGGCCTCAAAGAAGAAGATAGTCTTACTGGGTCAAATTCCCACGAGACCTCAAACACAGCAGAAGTGTTACATTTTCACCACAGGGAAAGAAGAACTGGTTGCAGCAAGATCACGCGCAGTCAGCCCAACTCAGTGTTAGCGAAAGGCTGGTTGGGGCATGACCAGCAGCTCCTGCTCATCACACAGTTTTACAGTCATAAATGGCGTTGGTGGGAGGGTAGGAGCACAAAAGACTGTTCTCACTGCACTGCAGTTGCCCATAGTACTGGAGAAATAGCAAAGCCTGTGATCTCCTGTTGCCAAATAACAGCAAACTGTAGAAAGGGAAGTGGAAAGAAGAGAAACCTTGTATTTTAGTATTTTAGGCATATATATAAATAGACTAAACTTGTTCGGCAATTAATGTTCAGTAGTCAGCCAAAAAAAAAAATTACGTATCTATTTTGAATATATACTTTCTTAAGATCATAATCCTATTCTCTCTGAAGGATTCTTTTCTTCTGGTAACTTGTGATTTCCTCACTGTCTTCTCAATCCTATTTTTAGTCACTCAAGTTTTGTGCAATTATCTGTATTAAAGGTTAATCCTTGTTCATCTTACACAAAAAAGTACTATAATTATTGCATTGGAACTACTCGTATTAGAAAGGCAAGTAAGGTTTGGTTTTCAAGACTCTTCTAGAATGTAGTAGTAGTACTAGTACTAGTACTAGTACTAGTACTGCTAGTAATAATGATAATAATATGAAACTCCATCCATTGTGTCAACAATTTTTTATCTTCCTCATGTATTCCAGAACTGTAACCCTAATGAAGTTGTGTGAATATTGTGGCACACAATATTAGTTGGTTAGCCTGACTGAGAATGTATTTTAGATAAAGGTGACATTTACTCCATATCCTTCCTTTGCAGTTGGATGGTTTTTCCTTGTGTCCTTAATGCCATTTGTTTGAAGAAATGGCAAACATCCTTGTCTCCCTTACATAAAAATGTCAAAATTCAGGAAATATTCTCCTAGAAAGTGGCCAGAGTCCCTTTAGGATCTCAGAAGGTCTTGCAGCAAAATAATTATTACCTCTCTGCAACGGCATCAGCTTTGACAAAATTGAATATTTCCATGGGAGAATATTCCTGTCTGTTGTAAAGGGAGTATTAATAAGAAAGTGTGTCAACATATTCAACATGAGGTCACAAACTAAGCGATAAGGAGAATTAAAAGTTCTGAATAGCTTTTTATGCAGAGACAATGTTCAGTGCAGGAATAGTGTGGAAAAGTAGTGTGTGATCTTAAAAATTCCCTCAGGAGGCATACACACAAAGCAGCAAGTGAAGCTTCTAATTTATTATCTGATATGCTTTTGTTCAGCTCTTTAACCCCAATGACATTCTTTAATTGTTGTTATTCTGTGTGTCAGATGATAATGTATTTCTTCCAGGAACTGGCTGAGGAACATTTCATATTCAAAGTTCAATAGTATTCATGTATTTTCAGAAAATACTCCTGCCCTTTACTTGTGTTCAAAACACCAGCATTCTGACTAGTGTCACAAAAGCACTCCCAAAATGACACTACATTATGTTGTGTAATTTAATTAATGAAATTTTTACTGGAATTCGTTTAGCCTGGAGTTTAAATTGATGTACTAAAGGCCAATGCAAGTCATATAACCTATAAAATATGCTTATTGCTGATAAGCTCAAGCTTTTCCTGGCATAAGTAAAAGGGTTTAAATGTATCACTTTAAAATCTGAGTGCAGGAAAGAAAGCTCCAACTTTATTTAATTCCTGATATTTAGCAAACTACATTCCAGCAATCTCATCTTCTTATAGTAATCTCCTATAGCAATATTCATGTGGAATATTACTAGTGCCACATTGTTGAGCAGGTCATATTTTCATTAACCAAAACTCCAGCATAATTATCTGCTGTTACAAATCTGGACTTAAACCCATAGTCTGTGTGCCTATATGAAGCCTGTGCACTAAGGAAAATTGACCTGTAGCATGTTTCTCACCTAAATGAATGGATACTGGTATCTCCTTTTTGTTTATAGGTCAGTTGCCCACTTGGTTGAAAGGGATGCTTCTCCGAAACGGGCCAGGGATGCACACAATAGGAGACACAAAGTATAACCACTGGTTTGATGGCTTGGCTCTGCTGCATGCCTTTACATTTAAAAATGGTAAGTTGTTGCATATCAGATTTAAAAAAGCTCAACAACCCGAATCTTGGTGCCTTATGTTGCTAATTCCGTTTTGAGTTTGATTAGCTTTAGTATGTTGCAGGTTCCATCTGCAGAGTGGCATATGTGGTGAGGTGGTAATTGCTTTGGGGAAAGTCTCTCCAGACATACACTTGCACCTCACTCTCCACAGCAGTGGCAGGATTATCTCTGCAGGGCTGTTATCAGAGATGGGTTATGTTACCTTTTTCCCTGGAGTGCCAAAGTTCCATACTGTCTGTGCTGCAGGACATCCTGCAACCAGCTCTGAGCAGGTCGCAGCAGGGCAGCCTTTGACTTCCACCCACAGCAAGAAAACCTCTACTGTTTCAAATGAGATCAACCAAAAGTACTGTAATATCCAGAGGTTTTTCTGTTGTGGATGAACAACCTAGTTTCAGGGAAGACTTAACATTCCCCTTTTAGGATTTGGTTGCAGCTGTAACAGCTGCTAGGAGAGAAACTGGGCCACTGTGTCACTTCATATACCAAACCTCGCTTACGTACACATGACACCCCTGCAAGCAGTTCTACTCGTCATCCTTATGAAGGGAAAACAGGCAGCTCCTCTATCCAAAATAATTTCATTTTTTGTTTTCAGTTAAAGCATTTTTTATCAGTTCAGCTGTTTTACAGTGCGAGGCAGGATGTTTTACATCTAGATTCTTGCTGCAAAAAGTATCGGTAAAAGAACCAGGTTTTACTCCTGTCATTCCATTCCTAGTGTTTACTTTTTAGTTTCCATTTCTGTGATCGGAGGTATTTAATGCAACTGCAGGATCTCCTTGCCTGTCCAGCTCTACGTCCTTAATAAAATAACCTATTAAAAAAAGACCATTGTTTTTTAAATTGCCAGTATATTTTACTTACCTAGAGCAAACAGAGCTCAGTTAGTTCAAATATAGTGGTCCATTAAACTGCTTAGGATAGACATTGATTTCTTCAAGAAATTTGTTATTCTCTTATAACTGAATTTTGCCAATACAAGAGATTTACCACCAGCCACGCATTGATGCATAATTAATATTTTTTACATTTTTGTTTTGGTTTACTGGAAGAGTTTATCCAAATCCCTCCTTCCCTCTCCCCAGTCCCCTAGTATTGTCCAAATGTGTTGGGAACCAAGGAAGCTAGACAAATTGTTACCAAGCTCAGCAGCTAAAGGGACAGTCCTGAGTTCCTTAGAGAGCAGAGAAAGCCTTCCAAACCAGAGAGTTAGGAGCATTCTTGGTTTTAATAGAATCATAGAATCATAGAATGGTTAGGGTTGGAAGGAAGTTTTGTTGCAAACTTTTCTTAGCTAAAGGACATCTGCTTGAGAAAATCTCTCTGACTTTATGTATGCTAATTTTCTAAAGAACTCAGTATGAAATGTGATTGAAACCTGTTTGGCCTTTGTCAGGTGAAGTTTACTACAGAAGTAAGTATCTCCGAAGTGACACGTACAAGTGCAATATAGAAGCAAATCGAATTGTGGTGTCTGAGTTTGGAACGATGGCTTATCCAGATCCATGCAAAAACATATTTGCCAAGTAAGCAATGCTTTTTCCAATAAGATTCTTCTGTCTACTTCTCTCTCCAGCACAGGTGTCTTTCTGTTTTCCCTTGACACATATTTACAAACAGGAAATTTGTTTTGTAAATTTACAATTGCCAAATATTGACAAGGCCGAGAGATATATTCAGCACTGTGTGCTCTATGGGTCATCCCAAGGCAAATTTTTCAAATTCATTCTATCAGCAATATCAGCTGTTTTATTCACTATTGCAAGTAGATTTCATTGTAATTTTGAAAAAACAATTTTTTCAAGTGTTTCACATAAATTTATAAAAATGATACTCTGTAAGGGGAGAAGCAGCAAGAAAGGAAAAGATGGGGAAGGAATTTATGCAAAGTTAATTCAACAAAAAGAAGAAAAGCATCAATAACTGAAAAAAATAGAAAAAAATCTGGATTAAAGATCATTTTTACAAAAAAAAATAAAGTGATGACAAATTCCAATTGTTTATTAGGTCATGTGCAGTGCTTTGAAGGACTGCACCCACAGGCCTTAGCTAATCTTATGTTCAAAGTCAGAACCACTTGGGATCAGTGCAGTAGCTGCTTTCATACCGTTGGAAAGGACAACAGGCCACGTATGCGAAGCAAGGTGTGAGCCACCGTTTTATCACCTATCCTGTAAAATTGCTGGTGGATATTCCCTGACAAATGCAAGTAGCACACCCAGCTCTTCTTCCTGGCTGAACCACCTCTAATGACCTTGAATTTGATATTTGCTAATATGATATAAGCTGTGACCCTGAGATAAGACGATTTTCTTCCCTCTTCCAGCAGTAGTAGGGTGACATTGGCATTTTAAGTTCAAAAGAGATAGGAGCAACTTTGTCTTGGTTTCAGGTGAATACGATAAAATCCTACACTAATAAGGAAAACTGTCAAGCCCACATGTGAAGCTGGGTCCTCTTTGAAATCATAATTGCGATAGAGGATAACACCAGGAGCAAAATTACTCCATCAGGGAGTATATGAGTCCATCTATTTTATGAAGGCATACCCTGAAAAACCTACCAGCTTTTAGGCAGAAACTGTTAGGCTAAATTCTCCCGAGGTGTGTACAGGAGAGCATGGAGTTAGCCCATCCTGGCAAACCAGCGCACGTGTTAGAGCAGACAGCAGGACTGGACCTGCATGCCCATTTGTGCATGGAAAAACAGTTGCACGCGTGTCCTTAGCCCTTGTCCTGGCCAAGGGTGTTGGAGAAGCTGGTCTCCTCCACTTTTCCACCCTTTCCACGGAGGCAGTGTAGGAGCACCAGAAGAGAGCACAGGAGGGGAGAGACAGACTCCCCGACCCTGCTGCTGTGCACAGCCAGCACTGCTGGGGTGACTTCTGCTTCACACGGGGTAAGAGCTACTACAGCTTCTGCCGCTCTAACGAACCGACACAAATTTCCCTCTGTACAGGGCATTCTCATACATGTCTCACACCATTCCCGAGTTCACAGACAACTGCCTGATCAACATTATGAAAACTGGGGATGATTTTTATGCTACCGGTGAGACTAACTTCATCTGGAAAATTAATCCGCAGACTCTGGAGACACTAGAGAAGGTATAAACGACTGTCGGTCATGCTGGTTCCTTATCTGCTAATGAATACAGTTTCTGGATGACTCATAAGGATCCTTAACTGGAAAGATACTCCTCTTCTTCTACTATTGCCTTACTTTTGAAATCATGGTAAAACAAAATAGTGAAGATACCACATCGTTCAAGAACTCATGAGTTCAAAATTAAATCCCAAGTAGTTTGGGAAAAGCTGGGCTTTAGGCAATGTCACTTGTACATATCTAGCAAGGTTGCAGGAATAATACCACATATCATGCTTATGACGTGATTATTTTGAATTATTCCCATTATTATGCATCTGTAGTTATCAAATGATTTACATAATTAACAATTCAGTAGGTCAGTTATATGACTACTTTTCAAGTACCTTATGCAAGATATTACTTAACTATTAAAACAAACTCTTGACATATTGAAATATGCAATGAGCTTTTTCTAGCATGGAGTACAGTTTGAGTACAATTTCCAAGCTTTAAATCAAATACAAATCTCTTTGCTCCAGAAGATTGCTCTACTCATAGCCCTATTAAATAAACTGCTTTCAGAAGGAAATGGGCATTTGCAGAGTAACTTCTTTAGCCAATCCTCCCATTATGTTATGTGACTGCAAGGGAGGGGTGAATATAATTCAAATTATGTAACTTGTTTCAACCTTGAATTAGGAAATCATTTGGGTACCTACATAACTAATTTGGCTTAACTGTTTAAATGTCAAGGCCTTTTGAAAATAGGGCACCAATAAGAGGCTGCCAGTGCTAAAAAGCTGGTGAATTTGTGGTGTTAGCTGAGATAAATTTTAATTCTCTTACACATCTCTAAAATCTCCTGTTGTAACATTTTCCAGATTGACTACAGCAAATACATAGCTGTAAATGTGGCAACTTCTCACCCACACTATGACAGTGCTGGAAACGTTCTCAACATGGGTACTTCAATAGTTGATAAAGGGAAGACAAAATACATGCTATTTAAGATTCCTCCCTCTGTGCCAGGTAAGATATGTCTTCTATCAGTATTTTCTAGAAGCTTGTTAGCAATTTGTTTTCTTCTGACGTTAAGGGGTGGTGATACAGCTCTTCTAGAAACCGATGGCAATCATTTTCTTGATTTTAACTTAGCGTGAACTCAATGTTAACAACTTAGCCTGTCTGGGCACAGGCTATTACAAAGGTTCATCTCAAATACTGTGTAAACAGGGTATTTCAGTTTGCTTCTAGAAGAACTTGCTTTTAGAAGAATTCTACTTTGAATATTACTAGAGTGAACTAACTCTTTTAGAAGAATTACCATTCCCTGTATTGTGCTGTGTATAGGAAGGATGAACAGAAACAATTTTATCTATAGGGCAGTATATATAATTTGAAGTTGTAAATTCTGATTTTCTTCATACATGAAAATGTTCTTAAAATGCTGATACTGTGATTACAGGGAAGCATAATACCAAATAATACCTAATATAGAGTTAATTCCTCTCTAACCTGGACTACATCAGGCCTTGCTGAAATATTGTCCTTTGTTTACAGAGTAAATAACTTGCTCTCCTTCCTTCAAGATAATTACTTTTTTGTGTGTATTTTTTAAAATCAGCTGTTAATGTGATGTCTGCCCTCTTGGTTGAACAGTCAAGAGGCCTTCCACAGCTGAAAGAAAGATAAGTTTGTAATTTCTAGCTGGGGCTCAAAGTTGGTAGAGATCAAGCAGGATCTCCTTAGAAGTTCAGAAACATGGAGGCATTTGAATCCCCTTGTAAAGCTGCTGATTGAAGTGAACATCTTTCTCCTCTATGCTGGAAATTCTGAAGACAGTAACCAGCAGAATCAAATACTAAGATGAGAGGCCTCTGTCTAAATTGATCCGGCGTTGAGATATTACTGTGTTGCTTCACTCAGATGCAAACTTCTGTGTTAATTCTGCAGAAGGAAACGAACAACTTTCTTAACAGGAAAATGCAAATAAAACTGAGATGAACCTGTTCTTTCCTACGTCATACAGGGGAGCAATCCAAGCACAAGATTGTATTGGAATTTGTTATAAACGTAATTTTGTTTTTTATCATTTATATTCAGAAAACGAAAGGAAGAAATCTTGTTTTAAACATCTGGAAGTGGTATGCTCCATCCCTTCTCGCTCTCTGCTCAACCCAAGCTACTACCATAGCTTTGGAATCACAGAAAATTACATTATCTTCATAGAGCAGCCACTCAAACTGGATATTGTCAAAATGGCAACTGCTTACATCCGAGGTGTGAGCTGGGCGTCCTGCCTTGCCTATCACAAGGAAGAGAAGGTATTTTTCCTAATGCTGAGTAATGGAGTCAGCCAGGCCAGTAACCTCTCCCACACTGTTCTGTTTTTCATCTGGTTCATCAATTTCAGTAATCCCTCATTTTTCTTCAACCCCTGACTTTCATGTTGCACACTCTTTTTTAGAAGTTGCATTTTTTTAAATACTGTCTCCCGTAACCAATATTTCACAAATAAATATCTGATGCTGAAGTGCTTGAGCAAGAGGATAGTTTGGCATTGTTAGAAATATTGTGTGCCAGCAGAGAAATTAAAAACCGCAGTAGCATCCCAGCCACATACAGTTGCTCCTGGTCCAAACAAAATACTGTTTGTTATGGAAGAGATCTGCTCCAGATCCATTGCATCAGAAAGGAGAGCCAGACTGGTGGAAGAGCCTGCATCCAACAGAAGGAGAGTCTTTCACTGTGGCAACTGAGGAAAAAAACTGTTTTCTGAGGACCTTATTCCCACATGCTTTGGCCATCAATAAGTGGGGCATGCTGGGGAAGTGAGCACCAGGACAGAACACTATGAAGACTCTGGACTAAGGCAGATTTATTTAACTTAAAAATAGAGCAGAGAGTTTTCTAGTACTGGAAAACTTCAATTCTCAGCCTAGCCCAAATAGTAATTTGCAACAGTAAAATGAGTTTAAAGCACTTCCATGCTCATTTTACTCCTGCATTATTTGATCTTCAGGTTGGAACGTCTTGTCTCCTAGCAGCAAATCCTGGTTCTTAATATGCTTCAGTAGAAACAGACAATACATTAGAATGTTGAGGGCTACCATTAGAAAATAGTTTCCTAAATAACTATTTATTGATCATTAACGGTTTTAAATAATGTTTCCTATCTTTCAGACTTGGTTTCACTTTGTAGACAAGAAGACTAAAAAAGAAGTATCCACCAAGTTTTATACCGATGCTCTGGTGCTTTTTCACCATATAAATGCTTATGAAGAGGATGGCCACATTATTTTTGATATTATTGCCTATACAGACAGTAGCTTATATGACATGTTCTATTTAAAAAAACTGAGTACAGACTTTGAAGAGAACAACAAGCTTACCTCCATACCAACTTGCAAGCGATTTGTTGTTCCTCTGCAGTATGACAAGGTAGAAAGAAAATGGCTTTTTAATGTGTTCTTTGATCAGTAATTTAAAATACATCAGTGTGAATAATGGGTGAATTATTAATTGCCAGCCCTTATGTGCAAATTTCTAATTCTTTAAAAATAAGACATACACAAAGTGTGCAGGAGTTTTGTTTTGTGTATGTATTGTGAGAAATGGCAACAAGCAGTTGGACGTACAGTTACATGGATCTAGGTTCTGATACCATCCTTTCTGGTGAACCAGCTATTGAACATATGTAATTTCCTTACCAGTGAGATTATTGGTAAGATGATATCAAATACGAGCAGATGTATCAACTTGGCTGTTGACTGGAAGGGTATGCATGAGATTTTGCACAATCTGTTTCTTCCACTTTACTGGAAGCCTAAATGTAATATACTCATGCTCTCAATTATTGCAATAGTTTTATTGAAATGAGAAGATTTCATTTAAGTGTGAGATTTATGAGGAAGAGGAAAGATTTTATCTTTCATTTTAATTTAAAACATCATTTTACATCATTGTTTGCAAACGAGATTTCATACTGCCCAGCAACCTGGGCAAGTTAATGCTTGATATGTTTGGAATGGATAATACTTCTTTCTGCATCCTAGAATCTTGCTGCTTTGTTCATGTCTCAAAAACAATCATGCAGCAATGACAAAGGATGTGTTGGATCACACCAGCTATCCAAACTACCCTGCAATCTTAAGAATTCAGCAATAGCATATTAAAAACAAGAGTGCATTACACCTATTTCTGCACTTGATCTATAGCAGGTGCAAAAAAACTAACCTTGATGACTTTTAGTGGGAATTTGATACCTAATTCCTTGAATCTCATCTTCATTAATGAAATTCACAAACTATGTAATCCATTTATTGTGCTTCTGGAACATAGTCATGTCTATCTAAACCTTTCTAAAGGCTTGGTGTGATTCAGAATGATTACTCTGTGATATATAAAAATCCTCTGAGTATAACAAGATTTCCAATGAAAAGGTCAGAATCTAATGTTACAAGATAAATGCCATACGAAGGAACTTCTTGAAGCTGGATTATTGGTTTAATCCCAAAACTGTAAATATTAATATCAAAGCTGATGAAAGATGTAAATTAGAAGCATATTCTTAGAGACACATTACTTTTTCAGCATCTGTCTCTTTCAGGATGCCAAAGTAGGTTCTAATTTAGTCAGGCTTCCATCTACCGCAACTGCCATAAAAGAGAAAGATGGCAGCATCTATTGCCAACCTGAAATACTGTGTGAAGGTGAGACATATCCATTATACAAATCTCAAATGTGTTCTCTTACACACACATAGGTGCAGTCTAATAATGCCTAGGAGCTGTTCATATATGCAAGATCTTTATAAAGCTAAGAGAAATTAAACTTTCAATTAATATGTTTAGTGTAGTTATTGACAATATCTTTCTTTTCTTTACTTCCCTCCTCTGAGTCTCTCCACTAACTTATGACCCTGAAACTCTCAGATAGATATTTATCAAGAGTGATATCCTTTAAAGGTCTGAAGTTATATCAGTTTTGTATTAATACAGGGTCCCAAGTCTGATCTTACAACTATTAATATGGCTTTCAAGTCTACCTGTTACAAGAGTAAATTTAGTTAAATAGGTCTGTTATAAATAGTAACTTCAGTTATTGCTGTATTTTATAAAGATTGCCTTTGAAAGTGGATTTTAAAACTTTTTTCAGGAAATAATAACAGGAATATGTAAGGAATATTTACCTAAAGCAAAAGTAATTTCTTAGAATGGTAGCATCCAGTTTTATCTCAGATGTTTACATCTCATGTATTTATGAAGAAAGAAAAAAACAAAACAAAGCAAAACAAACCCTCCTAAATTCTAGTATAATGAATCCCTAAGAATGAACAATTGTCATTTTTTAACCAACAACCCTGGCTTAATTATGTTGTGTTAATATCTATCTTCAGCTTCTTAGAAATTCAGACATAAAAAATCCACAGACATAAAAACACCTGTTTTAAATACTGTCAAGGTTTTTCACAGGGCAAAACTTCCTGAAGGTTGGCATATGTAAACATACATTTGAGTTATTTTCTTCTCTTACTCCTAAGTCTTGATCTTTATTTTACCCAGGGATAGAACTGCCTCGCATCAATTACGACTATAATGGCAAAAAATACAAGTATGTCTTTGCAGCAGAAGTCCAGTGGAAGCCAGTTCCTACAAAGGTATAATTAACATTTGCAAAGTCAAAGAACTGTATTTATAGAACACACATCAAATTTAGGCAGTTATAACTAGACCATGCTTTACTAGTTTGGCCCAAAATATAGCCTAATCTGCATTCATACATGCAAACTCTAAGTGTGTGGTTCTAAGGCCAGAAACAGAACTCTTTTTTTCAACATCGAGTTGAAGTTTCTAAATTATGACACTGCAGTTGGTTTCTATGTTCATAAATTTCAGTACTTGAAAGCAGGGGGATGAAAAGCTGGACATGCACGTTAGCTTACTTGTATGATTGAAACAGCCTCACTGGGTTTCCAAACTATGGAAACAATATATCTTCATTTTACTAGTTGAAAATCTGGAGTATTATTATCAGCTGTTAAAAACACGTAGTTCCACAGGCAGCAGAACAAACGCTTTCTCACACATGTGACTTGAGGCTGGATTTTCAAGTACTCAATAGTGTATGTGTTTCTGTCAAAACTTTTCCCATTGGTCAGTCATTCACATGCAAAGAAACATGAAATACCTAAATTCTTATAAGGGTCAGCTCACATTGTACCATTTCTCTCATAAAGTATTAATAAACTCAGGCTTCTTTATCCAGCTTTATGTTTCCACTAAGTCTCCTGAACACAATAGTTACTGAGACCTTCACTGTTCTGCTAAGTTGGGCTGAATGCGCCAAGAGCTACAAAGGAGACAGTAGGAAAAAGAAGTATTGACAGACATACATCTGTAATATTTTTTCCCTTTAGGAAACCTAACTAAAAAAAAAAAAGTTATTGCAACAGTATCTAATCAATTAAAAATATTACAACAATATCTAATTTTTCAGAAAGCTTTATCTTTTGCTAGCTAGTTCTGTGTTAGAGGGTAGCAAATGCTTCGGTTGAGTATGCGTGATGCCAACTTTTCAGGAGACAGCCTAGAGTACAAATAGATTTAGATAAAAAGTATTAATAATTGAAGGTAAAAGTATGGTATGGATAAACTTACTCTTTATAATCCTTGTTCTGTGACCATAAGTGCAAATTGAGTTCAGTGTTGATTCCTGTACATAATTACCACAACTGATTACAAAATAAAGCTGGATTTCTGCATGATGCAAGAAAATTTATTGCAGAACATCTGACAGTAGTTCAAACAAATCTGCAAGTTTGTGATTTCTAGTGTAGATAATCCCTGTTTGACTTAAATATAATAAAAAATGCTGTTAGAAGATTTTTTTTTTTCACATCAGTTGCTTTTTAATGAATGCAGGCACAACAACAACCATGTATAATCCTTAGGTGAAGCCTGTCAGTGAAATTGCTGTCATCTTGGTTAGAAGGGAGAGTTCTTCCAAATTCTTCCTCCAGTCATTTGAATAGTTTCATTTTTGTGTAAACAAATATTTTGACTAAAGGTCAAAAGGGAAAAGAATGTAACTGCATCTGTATGGGTGTAGAAAAGGCCTTAACAGAACTGACCTGAACTGCAAATGCCATGCATCCCCACTGGTGATTGGTTTGGTCAGACTCTTGACCCATTAATGAGATTAAAATCTGTATTCTGTTCCTTCAGTAAATACCAGTATCTTGTGGAATTCTTGCCTCATCTTTACATATCACTATTAATAGCCTTTGTTCTGGCATATATACCCTACTTAACAATAGAAGGCTTTGAGAAATATTGAGTTCACAATAAAAGGAAAATAATTCATAGGATTAGAAGACAGAAAGTTTAAATTTTCCCTTTCTTTTTCCTGCTTTACTACAGAATCGCAGTGATTTGGTGCAAGTCACTTAAATGTTCTGGGCCTTGGACTCTTCCTCTCTGTAGTGAGGACATGATTTACAGTGAAGGCTCTCTCATGATCCGTTAGAATTTGTAAAATACTTAAAGCCCATAAATGAAAGGTGCAGTTGTAATCTAATGAAATTAAATTAAAATAAAATTATGTGATTATTCAATGTGACTGCAAAGTTTAACGTTTTCCAGGTGTTTCCTTCTTGTGATGACATATGCCTTGTTGCTCTTTAACTCTTAGCATTGGTCCCCCATGCCAGTTCATGTTGTACCTTTGGAATAAACCACTGTCTGGGTCACTGACATCTTTCTTTTCTGGTCACAACAATTTAGATTGCAAAATTTAATGTCCAGACAAAGGAAATGCTCCACTGGGAAGAGGACCACTGCTGGCCATCTGAGCCTGTTTTCATTCCCAGCCCTGATGCAAGAGAAGAGGATGATGGTAAAATAATGACAACATTCTGAAAGCTGGGGTTTCATGATTTTTGCATTAAATCCTATAAGTTCCATTGTTCTTAATCAAGAAAGCTGGGCTGACGCTTCCACTGTGAGATTAAAATTAGCACCAGTCATTTTACTCCTGCAGATAAAAAAAACAAAGAAACAATAGACCAAAATCAGCTTGTGTAATGTCCCAAGGTAGCCATAAACAATAAAACCAGTGCTTCAGACTTTCCAGAGAGCCACTTGGAGCTGGATTTATCAATAGTTTGGAGCAGCTGGAGCTGTGGAAAGTCAGTGTTGTTACAGATGAGAACATGAAGTGGCACTGCAAGTATCCCTGGAATCTTGACCCGGTTCTGTTCTCAGGTGACTCCTTGCAAAGGCAAATAGCAAATAGCTGAAAGGATGAGTCCCAAAACTGCCAGGCACAAAATTCAGTGTTGGTTTGCTTTTTTCCTTTCCTATGAACTGCAGGCAGACCAGAAAAAATCACGGAAGAGAAGCATTCATTAGTTCTTTAGCACTCTCAGTTTACTTCTTGATCTAGTGAGCACTTTCAGTTTATGTCCTAAAATTCTTAGGAAACAAGAATTGTTTCCTGACAGTGTTATCTTTTCTGCTTGATGTAACTAGTATGTGCTTCTAATTCTTCATTTGTATGTCACAGGTATTGTTCTGACCTGTATTGTGACGTCTGATCCAAAGAAAGCACCCTTCCTACTTGTCTTGGATGCTAAAACATTCCAAGAATTGTGCCGAGCCACAGTAGATGTAGACTTGCATCTGGACCTGCATGGAATGTTTATACCAGAGAAAGACGTGAAGACTGAGACTGAGTAAAATGCTATTTATCCAGTTACACAGACTGAGACATCCTTCTGCTGAATGTGGGATAATATCACTCAGAAACAACCTTACCTTATGACAAGAAATGACTAAATATAATCTTTTCAATAACTAGATATAACCTCTTATAAGAGAGAGCAATAACTTTTATTAGATATAATTACATGCACAGCTGGTCCATAACTATTACGAAAGAAGAATGATCAGTATTAAGTGCTAATGTTGAATACAACTTGTGGGCAGGGAATAGAAGACAAGAAGGGTTTTATTTGAGTAGAATATAGCTTTCTGAGCAAATGAAGTACTGTATTTATAGGGTGATGCATGGCATGAGTCACGTATGTTTGCAGGTCGTGTAACTTTCATGGACTGTTTCAAGACTCATGATGAAAGTTGTCTCCTGCCAGATAACCTCATGTTAAACTATCTGCTATGATACTAATAATTCATGGTGGTGCATTCTCTTGGTGCTTGATTTCTTAAACTCCATGATAACCAAAGTATTACACTGAGGTGCTACAACCTTCTAATTTAGAACCTAAAAAAACCTACTTTGCTAATAATTTCATAGCATATTTTTCCCTTTTATGTTGACAAAACCAAGTAACTTGAAATAGAACATATGTTTTTATGTAGCACTCAATTATACTTTAGTGCTATTCAATCTTAAGCATTTTGTATTTAAATCAGTTTTCCTTGAGGAGAATATCTGACGTGACATTTCATGTAATGAGATGATTACATGGTGTAAAAGATAAACAGAAACGTAGTATTTATTAATATTGCTAATATTCTCCGCTAATAACAATATGTATATGAAGGAAAGCAGTGTATTTCTAGCAGAACTCAGATACACGTGTTGTAAAACAAATTGTTTAGGTGAGAAAGACCTAATTTAGACCTCATCTGAACCACACAGTAGCTGAAACTACAAGCTGTTGTTGCTATAGCTAAGCATTTGCTTAGGAGCATCCATGCTCTCACATGGGTTTATCACTGCCTGTAACAAGTGCTTCCTGGTAAAAGTACACAACTCTCATTCCTAATCACAATTAAAAAGCACATTTCAACACAGAGTTCAAATGCCAAGTACACCGTGACTGGTTTTTGTTATAGGAATGGCATTTCCTGATCCCCTGAGGTATTCCTGTTTTCTGATTTGGGCCATTGATTTTTCTCTTTTGAATTGTATTTTCCTATTGTAGCTACCGTTACCGTTGGAGGCATTTTTACTGACGAGGAAAACTAGGCATACATCCATCCATTTTAGGTGTTCGTGTGGTCCTGTGAGTATCACCACACTACTCGGGTATCTCTCACTTTTATATATGCACTCTCACAGTGTCTCTGCTGCTCACTGTGTTTTACAGGAAGGAAAGAGAATGAAATCATTGTCATTTGCTATCTGCCCATCACATGAGAATCTGGGCTTTGGTGACTTGTTCGTGATTACCTAAGATGTTTACAGCAGAGCAGGAATTGAACTAACCATCATCCACAGTTCTTGTTTGGTCTGTTAACAACTACACCTCCCTTTCTCTGTGAAAGTCTGTGCAGTCTGTAAGTATAAAGAATATGTAGCATATTTTTAATGTAAAAAAAAAAAGTCACTGTGGTCAGATTTAGAGTTAAAATATGCAGTTTTGGACATTCAAATATTTATATATTCCATAAAATGGAAATAAGCACTTCAGTAATGTGTGTCTGCAGAAACAGTCAACTGTAGTGTTTTCCAGGCATATTACCACTACTGTCTAAGGGGACTTTATCTTCTAAAGAAGAAATTGAATTCCATCATTGTAAGTAATATGGATCAGTACTGGAATGGAAGACTGACTTCTGATGTTGGCAAAAGACACAAGCTGAGGAGTTGTTTCTTTTAATCTGGAAAAGTTTGGATTTAACAAGTCTCCACAAATATTTCTGGAATTATAAAGTGGTAATGAATCAAAAGTCTAACCATTATTATGGATCTCCTTTTAAGAGTTTGTCTCAAGAACTTCTTCTGTAGAATTTATAGTGTTATGTTTTCAGATGATTATGAGTTTGGATACAGGAATTACTTGACTTCTGAGGAACTAATTTTTACTGGCAGAGATGACATGATAGGAGAATATTCATCATAAAACCAAATCAATTTGTTCTTTTCAGTCTAAGAAAGCAAATATTTATGTTCATGTAGAAATACTGCAGGAAATAAATTACAAGAACTTGTATTGGGTATGATTTTTTAAACAAAGTGTGCTGTACTCCTTTGGTCAGTGTTACACAGGATTTGATTAGCATCAAGTTTGTAGTCAACCTGAAGAGAAAAACAGTGATGTAAATCTGGATTTGCCAATCCCAGTATCCTCCTGTGGGAGAGACAATATGGATAAAACCATATGGCTAATCACAAATTTGTTCAAGAATGTTTTTAGCAGTTGCAATAGTAATCTGATGAAACACGCTGAATATAGTAATACACTGTGTCATGTCTAGGCTGACAATAGCAAGGAGGAATGCACAGACACTTTGCCAAGCGGCTGCAAGGCTTGAGGGGTTTTTTTTTGTTGTGGTAACATGGCACACGGTAGTGAGTCTGTGGTTTGGTTTGCTTCTCTGACATCCTTCGCTACGAATGAAATCTGGAGGGACAGAATGGTTTGATTTTTCTTTTGCACCAATTTAAGTCATAAATTAGCCCAGTAAAACCAGTGGAGTTATTGTAGTGGCATAAAAAAGAATCTAGATTTAGTGACTGCAAATAAAAATAGTAAGGATAGATAGCTCCATTAAAGGAAAATAACACAGTCGAGCAAGAGAATCAGGCCATGGGTACACACACATATAATTACTTCAAAGATGTTACAAATGACCCTCGAGTTGGTAGAGTGGTTTGTTTTGGGTGGGTTTTTTTATCAACAGGTTTCATTAAATGGAGCAAATAACAAGGCATAATAATTAATTTGTTCTCTGGAAGTGGGTATTATCTGTTACACCTTGTCCCATTGCCCCACATAAGCAGCAGAAACACTGTTTACCAGGACATGTTAAAAACCAGAAATACAACTATGTTTTCCGACGTAACAATCTATGCAGCAAGCATAGAAACAAACCAGTGTTTTTCTTTTTAAATAACCAGGCCACTCCATGACAGCTTTCACAATAATTTAAACCACTGTTCCCTTGGGTATGCAATTACCAAAGTATTAATAACAAGGAAAATACATCTTTCACCAGCAGTGCAAGAGGCAGAGCGCTCTCTGGTTTCATTACCCTCAAAGAGAGCTGGGGGTGTGTCCTCTGGATCTTTTCTGCTCTTCCTCATTCTACACTTGACATCCTGGATAATTATACCCAAGCCAGAAGAGGTGGCCTTCTAATATCTTTAAATAGGTATGTTATAACAACAAACAATGCAAAGTTGCTGGTGTTTCATGCAGATTAGTATGTTTTTAGGCCTTCCATTGCACCAGGATGTGAAACACATCCTCTGCTTCCAAAATTCTTGTTCAAAGCTGCCCAACAAACCGAGAACACGATACTCCTCTCTGTGACCCCTGCGCAGTCAGAAAGCACTTGAGCACGGGCTGAACTGCAAACCCTGGCATAAACGGGGCTGTTCGCACTCTTCACAAGCGGCACTTGGTGCAGCGTGTTGACTGCTGGGGTCTACGCCTGCAGATGCCCCAGCCAAAATCTCCATCTGGAGAACAAACCAGCATTGTGTCTAGCTCCAGAAGGACAACGTTGCCTTTGTGAAGTCATTCACTTCTCTTTCCTATGAGGACATTTCCAGACACCTTTCTTTTTCCTAGTAGGAAAATGATTTGGAGACACCATCAAACGACATTAGGATAAATTATAAAATAAAATTTTAAGTTGTCCACGTTTCAAAGACATGTATTTTTGACATCGCTGATTTAAAGAAATGCAAATATAAAAGCATGTGAACCACCACAGCTTTACTAGATCGGGCCCTCCAAAAATTTAATTCTCCCAGTGGAGAAACAGAAGGCATGATGTCCTTTTGGGTGTTTCACAGCCTAAGAAATCCAATCCTACTTCTGACTGTCAGAGCAGAGGGTGTGCTGCTGTGTTTGCCCCATCCTGGCAGCATTGACTGAACTGTCGGCACAGTGGATCACAGTTTTCAAACCCTTTCACTGCGCAAATCGAGTTTCACTAAATACTGGATGCTGCTAAAGAAAGCAGCAGCAGATGGAATCAAGTAATCTCCTAATATGCAATTAAGCACATTAAATATATGGCCTAAAATCTTGTAATAGTCCTGAAGAAAATCTTTTTGCTGAAAAGGCCGTATTTCCAGCTGGCTGCTACGGAAAGCAGCACTATCGAAACAAGTCTCACTGTATTTAATCCTCATTCTCTTCTTCTCATGCTAACGCCTTTCACTTTCACCTCCAGCTCCTATACGGGGGAAAAAAAAATAAAGACAAGGTTGGATTTAGTCCTATTTTAAAGCCAAGAGGGAAAGAAACGGAGGGAAAAAAAAAAAAAAAAGCTAATTTCG